ACTGTCAAAAGCTCAAATGATTTACCGTGAAGCAAATTATCCAGACTTATAGTGAATTATGAGTCCTTTGATCATTTATCTGCATCTTAGATCACTAGCAGCAAATGTAAGCAAATACCTCAAATCATACCCATTCTTCCAAACTTTCTGTACACGTTGAGCAGGGCAATGTTATCTGCAAATGTTATATAGCCTTCACCTGGATACCTGGATTGTAACAATATTTCTCTTTTCAAGTATGCAGGATGTCTTACAGCAAATCTGGAAAAATATCAACTGACTGCTATCATTTATTGAAGGTGAAAATCACCAGTATACTGTATACAATGTAAATCAATGAAACTCTGTTTATAGATGCACTCTAAACATTTGTGGCTTAAGAAGGAAAACATATATGATATTGAATATTGATTAATTAACCACTCATTACTGACCTTAATACACATGGGTAACTTTGAGTGCTTCATAAGCATGAGGTGATTTAACCCATTTAAAGTCAAGTCTGGTTAAGAAAGAGGGACACAAAAAAGGAAGAATATTTCATGCTTATCAAGAGCAGCCCATCTTCCTGACAGTAGTACTTTGGAAGCTGGACTAAGTCAGTCTATTATCACTTTGTACCTTGGCTGTTGTGTGAGAGGGCAGCAAGTTCAGATAAAATGGAGGTCTCATCTGGACTGAATTGCCCAGCTAGGTGTGGGGGTTGAGCTTTGATGTCCTCAGGCTTTCTGGATTTGTGGATTTGTTTTGAATCTGCATGTGTAGAATTGCCAGAGAAAGAAGATATGACTGACAAAGGATCTGTGGAACTGAACAATGAGTTTTGTGAAAAGTCTCCTAGATGTTTTTGAAGAGTCTCAGAATGAAAAGTTGTTTGGTTTTAAGGCTGGTAAGCACCTTAGCAGTCTGGCATTATAGACCAGATGGGTAGCTGCATCAGCATGCGTAGGCTGCAAAGGAACAAGTAATAGGTTTATTCCATGCTGAAAAAAGAAAGAGAACACAACGTTTCGGCTGTGGAGCCTTCTTCAGGTGTCAACACCTGAAGAAGGCTCCACAGCCGAAACGTTGTGTTCTCTTTCTTCTTTTTTTCAGCATGGAATAAACCTATTACTTGTTCCTTGGCATTATAGAAGGTGGTTAGTAGCTGAAAAAAGGAGCTATACCTTTGTTTTGGTGTTTTTTATTTGCTTAATTTTGTGGGGTGTGGGGTGTCACACTTGGGAGGGCATTATATCTAAATTTAGTCCATTAATGTGGGCAACCAGATATACACCGCACGAATATCAAGAGAGGGGGAAAGGTCCATGTGTGATTGTCTGACCAGGATTTTCTGCTCACTACAGAACTACACTTGTAGTGATTGGTGGCAGTCTGGCTACAAGCAAATCTTGGGGTTTTACTGACTGCCCTTCCCACTGGCATAACATTACAGCTGCACAATGTACCGCCTCTTGCTTTTCATGTAACAACAGTTTTTTTTGCTCGATGAGAATGTGAAGGTTTAAACTATGAATGGCCAGAGTTCCACTGAACATCTGTAGAATAAGCAACGTTGATGTGTTATCTAGGGCTCAGGAACCAGTGAAGAGGCACATGCGTATCCAGGCTCTATGAAAGGATTGAGACAGAATTCTACAGAACAGCATCTGCAACATGGTGCAAATCATGTGTCAGAGATTACATACATCTCATATTCCTCCCAGCAATGGCCACACGAACCATCAGCCACACCACCATCACACCCATGCAAACGAACTGTAACTTTTAAAGCACATGCTCTGTCAATGAATACAGGTCCCTTGCAAACGTTAATCGTACATAATGAATTTACTTATTTCGTGTCTGTTCAATAAAATGTGCATCTGCTAGAAAAAGGTTTTGTTCCCTTTTCTAATAACCTTAACAATGCTTTTGATTCTTAATGTACTTCCCTTACAAATACGATGAATAACAAAAACAACACAAAATGACCAAACCTCATTAGTACAGAGAGACTCCTAAAATTGGTTCTTCTTCCATCTTCCATTGCAGACTGAGTTGGTTAAACAGATCTTTGATTTGCCATGCATCAGTGAACTGGTTTACTCCTTGAACATCTGCAACCTTGTGTTATCAGTAAGTAAATTCTAGTTTGTGTCTAGAATGGGAATAGAAATGTGGGCCTTTACAGTACACAATTTTAAGGTCATGGGTATGTTGTGTTTGTGTCTTATGAGCCAATGCAGTAGCTGGGCTGTATAGCAATACATTATGAGGTTTGGTAATGGAGGTTCTACAGCATTCCTTATTCCTTCACCATATCCTTATATTGCTGTGCTGTTACTGCAGGCTAGCTATCTGTATTCATTTCTTATATCATTGATGATTGTACTGCTATATCAGTGCTGATTAGAAGTTTGTTAACCCTAGAGAATGTCTGAACATATTCCACATATTTGAAACGTAAAGAGTTATCAAATCTTAATCTAAGTCCCAATAACAGATACAATTAACTCCAAAAAACAAATGACACAAAACATGATCGCCTTTCAACATTAATTTATCCTGAAATGATAAATATGATGAAAAGTTTTTAGATTAATTAACTAGAGGCACCCCCCTTGAGCAACAATGACTACAACTTAACATTTCCTGTAACCACTGATCAGTCTTTGACATGGGTTTTGAGAATCGTGGTACAGTACGTTCCTCCCTACAGAACTCCCTAAACTCTGTGATATTTAAGGGCTACCTTACATGGACAGCTCACTTCAGACTTTGAATAGACCATTGTAAAACATGGAATTTCTTCTTCTGCAGCAATTATTTTGTGGATCTGCTTGTTTTTTTAACAAAAGTTAATTGCTGCAAGCTTCAGGTCACAGACAGATGCCCTGACATTCTCTTTTCTGGATTTTCTGATACATTGCAGAATTCATGGTTGTGTCAATGATAGTAAGTTGTCCAGATCCTGAGGCCACAAACCCGCAAGGTCCTAATCATCACCCTCACATCACAGTGGATGGGGTGGGGTTCCTCTATTTAAAAGTAGTGTTTGGGTTTTCACCAAACATAACATTTCTTATGTTTGGGGGCTAGCTTTTAGTTGCTAGAATGTTGCTCTAGTAGCGTTGTGATCATCTACTGTGTGTGCTCTTTGGCGAACTTCAGAGGGGTAGCAATATAGCAATATTCTTTTTGCAGAGCAATGGTTTTCTCTTTGCTATCCTGCTGTAGGCATCCTCTCACAAGGCACCAATAAATGTAGGGGTTTTGTGAATTTACTGGGACAATTATTAATTTAGGCAGTAAGTCACCAAATAATTCTTCGATGGCTATTAGAAGACCGACCTTGCGGGATAATAGCAACGCACACACAAGGATACTAATACACGAGAATACATTTATTAATACATTAAATGTGCATAAACATAACAGATCTTATCAGTGAGGGTTAGAAGAATACAAAAGATATATATTTAATCACCAAAAGTTACAAACCAAGAGGGGCATACATTCAGTATACCATTCATTTAGACCATTTCGTAAATGAACTTGGATTACAACTTTTACACTAGATACTCAAAAGCAAGCACATCACTCATAGGAATTAAATTGATATCAACTGGGGTTGAGGTAACAATTGAACTCTCGGGCTGTAATGCAGAATGTTGAATACTCATCCAATCTGTGTGGATTCAGATCTCCCGCAGACACAAAGGAACAGCAGCAGTCTTGTTGCTGTGTCCAATAGGTGCTCTCTGGCCCAGTGCCAGGCAGTGCCGGTTTGGCATGCGATGTGGGAGAAGGAGGGAGAGATTCTGCTGCAACGCACTGCTGATGCTCTCTGAAGACCGGCTAGTAAGTTCTGGCTTACTACCGAGAGTTTGTGCACATGAGAAAAGTGACTGCGGGTCGTTCCTGATGTAGCGCTAGTCCTGAATACTGATATTCAGCTGTCCACAGTTCTGACCGTAGTTCACTTGTTGATCAGGTGAGCGTTTGCGATGGGTTCACGAGGCTTGCTGCTGGGCTAACCTCGGGTGGATCCTTTGGTTATGCGCTGGCGACCTCCGTTCTCGACTCTTAGAACAAAGACCTGGCACTTGGAGACACTGGCCGTTACGTGATTGTCCGAGCTGAGTCTGAGAATGTCCAGGAGTAGCATGGAGGAGCCCTGTGCTGCCTGTTTTACCTGGAGGAACTACGGTTGTTCATTGGTTGAAAGTTCCATGGGCATTCGAGACTCACGTGGGGTTACCCTGCCCTACCAGACGGGGAACAGGAACGGGAACAGAGGTTAAAACCTTAACGGGACCAGGCGCTTCCAGGTCCCAGACTCGCACGATATGGAAATCAGATGCAGAGCCCAGATGAGCGTCAGCACCTGGCTTTTAAGGTGGGCTGGGAATGGGAAACAGGTGCACAGAATAAAGTCTTGAGTGAAAGGGCTTGAGCACCCATAAGGAGGGGGGACTATAATCGTGACAGTACGCCCCTCCTTTTCAGGGCGGCTCCGAAGCCCTAAGAAAAAAAAAGCTTTTACACATCAAAGCATTGAAAGTCAGGTCAAATATCCCACAGATGGAATTAAAGAGAAAATCATTTGTTTTCTCTGGCATCAGAATCCAGAATGAGGAATGTAGTATACTGTTTGTCCTGTTGAAGTTTTGTCTAATAGATGCAGCTATTTGAGACACTGCTTGTACATTAAATCATACATCACGCAGAAGACAGCTTGCTGCTCTTGAAATGCTCATTGGCCTCTGCATTTTCAACAGTCCAGTATCGCTCAATGGCTACACATTTTTGTTAAAACGCTACATTTGAAGAAATCTATCATACTCGGGATTTCATTGGACTTACGGACACTTGGTATGAAGTCTGGGCTGGGCGTTTTTCCGCAGGCCTCTCACAGGGAGGGTGGTGCGCCCGCACGTGCGGAACCCGAGAGGCGCGGGCGGCAGCTAGGACCCGTTCTCGCCCACGCTGGCGCTGCCCGGGTGCCGAACCGGGGGTCCGCTACCCGGCAGGTCCCACGCCCAGGTGGTGGTGCAGCACCTCCAGCTCGGCCGGCAGGGGGATGCCCAGCTCTAGGTTCAGGGCCAGCACCTCGAAGCAGTCCACCAGCTTCTCGAAGGTGGGCCTGTTTTCAGGCACGAGATCACAGAAAGCTACAGCCAGCGGGAAGAAGGCCACGGGGCAATCCTCGGGAAGAAACTTCTCCAGGAACTTCCTCACATTGAGTCCAAAATCCAAAGTTCTGGGAAGGCATTCTGGGTCAGCATACACCTGCCCAATAATCTCGCAGAGCACAATCCCAAAAGAGAAAATATCCACCCTCTTGTCATATCGTTTACCATTCAGCATCTCCGGCGCCATCCAGTACAGGTTCCCCACCACAGTGTAGCGCTTCTTCGAATCGATCCGCCTGAACGTCCGCTTCTTCGCCGACAGCTTCTCTGGAGGAGCCCGGCTCTTCTCCTCCACGATCAGACGGGAAAGGCCGAAGTCCGCCACCACGACGGTGTTGTCCAGCTTGACCAGGCAGTTGTGTGAGTTCAGGTCTCTGTGGATAATGCTCATTGAGTGCAGATAAGCCATCCCAGAAGCGATGCCTTTGGCGAAACTAACTCTCTGCTCCCATGGGAACGGATCCATGTCTCTGATGAAATCCTTGAGCGTCCCCCCCTCTATAAACTCCGTTATTAAATTCAATCTTTTGTCCTTATATAGCACTCCAATAAACTTTAAGACGTTAGGGTGTTCCAAACTCCGCATTACTTTCACCTCCTTCAGGAAGGTTTTCTGGGTTTCCTCATCACAACGAATTAACTCCTTCATTACCATCACCTCTCCGGTTGCCTTATGTGTAACCTTGATGGCCTGTCCGAAGAAGCCCTTTCCCAGCACTTCGCCGTGGATGAGGTCGCAGGGCCGGAATATTCGGTGGGAGCAGCTGGTGGAGGAACGCAGGGATTCGGAGCGGCTGATTTCCCGGAACAGACCGGGGTACTCCTTGGGAGATGCAGAGCCAGGGGATTTACAAATACTGTTACTGCACCTCAGGGACCTCCTTTTCAGTGTGCTGTCCTCCAGGGTCTCCATACTCTCCAGCACCGGATCCGCGGGGGAGAGCACCCTTAAGGAGGGGGGACTATAATCGTGACACCACTTGAGATGAGAGAGAGAAGGACTGGCAAGAGAGCAGCAAACTTAATTCCTGTATTTTTAATAAGCTTTGCCACTACACTTCTATGAAGGCCATTCTTGTTCAGTTATTTTCTGATAGCTGAGTCATGAACAGTCATTTCAGCCAGGGTGAATGTAGCCTGTGGTTCATCAGATGTTACTCTGGGGTTCTTTCTGACTTCCTTGATGACATTTTGGTAGGACGACTGCTCCTGGTTAGGGTGACTCTGGTATTAAACTTTCTCCATGTCTACATGTCTGAAATTGGATTGGTGGAGCCCCAAAACCTTAGAAATGGTTTGGATGCTTTCCAGACTAGTGAGCATCAATAATTTGTTTCTGAGGTCCTCAGAGATTTTCTTGGATCATTGCATGATTTGTTTCCACACATCTGTGTGATGAAACTGACATCACTTCTGATCTTTATATATAATAATAATTGCTTACACTTATATAGTGCTTTTCTGGACACTCCACTCAAAGTGCTTTACAGGTAATGGGGACTCCCTTCCACCACCACCAATGTGCAGCATCCACCTGGATGATGCGACGGCAGCCATAGTGTGCCAGAACGCTCACCACACATCAGCTATCAGTGGGGAGGAGAGCAGAGTAATGAAGCCAATTCATAGATGGGGATTATTAGGAGGCCATGATTGGTAAAGGCCAGGAGGCCAGGATTACAGGATTACTCTTTTCGAGAAACGCCCTGGGATTTTTAATGACCACAGAGAGTCAGGACCTCAGTTTAACATCTCATCTGAAGGACGGCGCCTGTTTACAGTATTGTGTCCCCATCACTATACTGGGGCATTAGGACCCACATGGACTGCAGGGTGAGTGCCCCCTGCTGGCCCCACTAACACCTCTTCCAGCAGCAACCTTAGTTTTTCCCAGGAGGTCTCCCATACTGACCAGGCTCACACCTGCTTAGCTTCAGTGGGTTGCAAGTTGTGAGTTGCAGGGTGATATGACTGCTGGCCATATATTGTGGGGTCTTCCAAACCCAGCCCCCCAAATCTACCCAGTTATTTAAACACCTGAATTTCCTTAATGGACCTACTTAAACTAAGGGTTAATTTCCTTGTTCACATTTCCTATATCTTAATTACTCATTGTGTAATTAATTAATCTTTTTGTTTTAAGATATGTAATTGGTTACTATAACACTTGGATATATACTGTACATAAAGACTGGTTTTGATTTTAGAAGGCAGTCAAAGTAAAACTATGACATTTCCATATTTCTTTTTGGGATTCACAAACTTTTTCTTGGACTATAAATGATAAAAAAATGTGTTATGAAGTCAAAACATTATCCTTGGGTTGATTTTTAGGACAAAATGCAAAACAATGTATTAATGTTGTTGTCAATGTGTATTATAGAAAAGGTAAATAAAACGCTGCCACCTTTATGACTCATTATAAAATTTCAGAAACCATAAGAAAATATTTTTGTATTCACAAAACATTGTTTTAAATAGGTATCAGCCTCATATCATCTTTCTTTACTTCATTACACAACATGACCTTGAAATGAATGGGCTTTGGCATAAATTGTTAAGTTAATTATGAGATTATATGTTGTCAGGCTTTGTTGTTTTAATGGTTTATTTAATTTCTTCAGGAGATAGTTGATGAGATCCCCTGGGATCTATGAAAGCCAATCAATTGAGTCTTCTGTTTCTCACTCATATTAACCTTGATAGTGAAGTAAATGGCTAATTCTTTTGGAAATTATAATTATTTAGCTTTCTATCGTAGTCATATGTTCTAGTTAGTTTCAAATGATTCAAAGTTTAACCATAAAAATGCCCAGACAGGGCTTTATCTGTAAAGGTACATATCAGCTGTCTTAGTTAACAATGGACATGCACATTGATACTTATAAAATTGTCTGTGTAGGCAAATATAGTCCATTAAACAGTATGGGTTCTGTTCTGACTTAATTCACACTTAAGAAAAGTGTGTTTATATGCTGTGTGAAGCAACCTCAAGCATTATTACCTCATATTAACAGGAGCACATGAGAAGGATTGTTGGGTTTTGACTAAAATATATACTCCCCCAAGTATATACCTTTATTTTCATTCTGAAATTTTATAGGAAAAACAACCTTTTGTCCTGCATAAACTAAGCAACATGAAAAGTGGAATAAGCCATACTCGTTTTGTGCTTAATTTCATCCAAGCAGCAATCAGCTACTAAATGGCAGCAATTGTGTTTCTATTTTTCTACATATTTTGTAAAAGGGCAGTCAATGAAAACAAGATGGCGGTTTATCTTTGCACCAAATTCCCCCAAAAGCACAGGGCAATACATAGTAGAGTATACCAACAGCTGAGGTATATCATCTTGGTAATCATCTTTACAAATTGGGTGTTTATGATTATTTATTTTGCTAATCTAATGATTGATTAATTCACTCAGTCATTTCCTGATTTTCTCTATTTTCGTAATCATCAAATTTGTAACAATATTCATGAACAAGATGGAAGCAAATTAGATCTCCCAATCTCACCATGATAGCATGACAGAGGTGGTTTGAAAGATCCTTAAAGAATTTTGTCTTATGTTCTCTATAAGATTGACTATAAACAATAAGGGACTGTTTGGCCCATCTAGCATGTTTAGTACGTAGTAGTCTAACATTCCAAGGATCTTATCCAGCCATTTCGTGAGAAAAAAACAGTGTTTCAGTTTCAACAGCATGGCTGGGTAGCTTCTTCCATAATCACACAACTCTCTGAGTAAAGAAAGGTATCTGCTTTAAAAGCACTTTCATGTAGTTTTCACTTTGAACTTCCCTGTGATTTGTGATTCACTGTTCATTTGGAAGAAATCCATCTGGAATCCAGATCGCAATATTTTCCCTATAATGTGGTGAACAAAAGTTCTAAATGAGGTCTTACTAGTGTTTTCTGCAGTTTTTACACAACTGTCCTTTGATTTGAATTATATGCTTTTAACTACATATCCTAGCATTTTTTTTGCTTTCCTTCCCCACATTGTTTAGAAGAATGCACGTCAACATGAACACCTACAGGTAAGTCATTTTATTTTTAAGTAGCCTCTTCAAGCTCAGCATTTACCGTTTTGTATTCATAATTTATAAACAGTGTATCCGCTAATGTTACATTCCTCTCCATCATTCTCAGTTAGCCAGTTTTCAGTGATTCCAGTAACATCATAATTGCTTGCTAATGTGGTAGCCTCTATCTCATCTAATTTGTTTCTGATTCTCCTCACATTTAAGCATTTAATTACCTGATCATCTGCTCTGTTTTTTCTATATCTCATTTGATCTTTATTCCCCATGTAACTTTGTTTTTTCACCCCTTCCATTCTGGTCTAAATGTTTCAGGATTTAGCATTCTAGTTCTTGATTTCTTGGCTGATTCTTTTGCAAAATTTGACTGGTGTTCAGTTCATATACAGTAGATGAATCTGTCACAATGGTACAGATAGTAGGGTTTCCAGTGTCCTAGAAAGCTGGAGCCTTTTTCTGCACACCATATCCTCATTAGAGGGCTGTACTGATGGACTAACATTAATAATTGTTTATCTTTATACATATTCAATGATGAATGATGTATTGCTTGCAGAGTTCAGGGCTGATGGCACTATAAGACGAAAAGAAGCCTTCTTCTGCACAAATTGGTTTCATCCCAGTAACCATGGCAACTCTGCAAACCTGGTAAAAGAAAAGATTATTACGAGAAAAAGCAGTTGTGGTAGAACAGGTTTAATTAGATGGATAGGGATCCAGCACTGCATGTTAGTTAAACGTGGGTTTGAGAGTTGTGAGCTGTAATGTATAAATGAATAGCTATATTCTTTTTTATAGTTTTTTTGTGCTAAAAACTTAACTTTCTTCCTTTGCTTTTATTGTTGATATCTGAGCAGTTGCATTTACCAATTTAAATGTGTACTTTGCTTGCTCCATTGAAAATCCAGAGCCAATACCATAAGAAGCACAGGGTGCTAGACTGAATGCCAGTGTGTCAAAGGAACACACACATGGAAAATGTAGAGACAGCAGTTAAAACAAACATATCCTCTGAAGATGGGAGGAAACCTGATAAAAAAGAGCATGCAAACTCCACCCATGAAGTGCTAACCATCACAACAATGTACCAACACCCTTGTTTAGTAATTTCAGACAAATTGTGATGAGCTCTGTCATTTCACTCTAAGTTTTTCTTTGAAAGTATTTCATAGCTTCAAATTGTACTAGTTTTTCCACCCATGCACAACTGTACTGGGCTTGTGTTCAGTTTCTAAATCTGTATGATCTTGTCCTAAATAAGCAAATAAACCTAAGAAAATAACTGCATTATTCAATATTTAGATTTTTAATATGTGGCTAAAATGAAAAGCAATTTGGAGTGTGTGATAATCAATAAAATCATTCAGAAAGCTTGCCTAAAAAGAAGATATATGATACATTTGGAGTTTTTTCTCATCTTTACTGTTCTATGTGAACTTTGAATAGGCAGACATTAATCAAATTTGTTTCTGAATTAAATCACTAGACAGCTCATTAAGGATTGTATTTATCTAAGTACAGTGGAACTAAAAAATAATAGTTGTTAATTTCCAGCAGTCAGTTAAACAAATAGAAATAGAAACTCTAAAGTTTTCCAGGGTTAAAACTCTTAATTGAATAACCAATATCTAATAACCAATAAAATATATTTATTCTCTTAATATAGGTACTGTCAGCATTACTGAAAAACATATTTGAAGTTTTACATTTTTCTAAAAATACATTCTTAATTCCTAAAATATAATATTTTTGTTTCATTTTTCCATTTATCCGTCCATTTTCTAACCACTTCATCCAATTCAGGGTCACAGGGGAGCTGGAGCCTATCCAGCCAGCATTTTTATGTACTGCAAATTCAATTATTCATACTCATAATAACAACTGAAATAAGGTAAAAGCAA